TTATGTCAGCCGGGATGTGGCAAGTGATGTGATAGGTCTGGAAATGATTCAACAAGAGAACAAAGCTCGTATGATTCAACAGTTTTTGTCTGCTCTCGCCTGCCCCGTGGGATTATTTAAGGTAGTGGTGTGAAAAAGAAAAGGAGGTTAATTCGATAACTGGAAAGGAGGAAGGGAAGAAAGAGCAACCACCTGTGTTGGCCTTCGTGTTTTGATTTAGAGATTTACATTTGTGAATGTGTAAAGGCTCATGGAGATGAGTTTATTCAAAACAAAACATTTCTTACTTAATAGGAACAAACTTGAAAGCATTCCTGCTGCTGCTTTGGCCCCATTTACCGCCATGTTCATCAGCAGTAAACTCTTTCCCACTAGCAGTCGGCAGCCCCAGGCCCTGTGAAGTTCTGCAGTGATGGCAAATGACCTGAACAACCTGCGAAGGAGTGAGCTTCAGCCGACCTGAGTGTGACATTAAGTTGGGCTCCTTCACTTAGCTTGTTGCTTCCTGCTGGGAGTAATTAGGTTTCTTATATAATAATGATTCCTTGTATTTAGATGCAGTCTTTCTCTAAGGACCTTAAAGTACCTCTCAGACATTAGCTTATCTGTTCTTCTAACACAACTACCCCGTGAGGCCAGTGCTAATTATTCCCATTACAAAGATTGGATGACTAAGGCTCGCCCACAGAGTGGTGCTCCATCCACACCCTAAGGCTAAGTTGACCTTACAGCCACCTGATGCCTTGGTATCCTGCACTCCTGAGGTCTGAGGGCAGGGTGGTGAGAACTCTTCCCAGATGGCGTTTGGCCTGCACTGATGTACCTCATGAATGTTGGGCACTGGTGCTAGAGTGTTCTCGCCTCGACAGCCGCGTTGTGGCACTGTGGCTGAGAGAAGTCACAGTGTCATTCCCTATTCATTCAGTACCTTGTCTGACGGTTCCCTGCCTGCAGAAAGTACAGGTGGGTGGCTAGATTGTCCTGCCTGGTGAGCCGGGCATCGTCCCAGCATTAGGCTGTGGCAAGCCGAATTGTATAAAGGTTCTCCTTGTCATCATTCCCCCCTATGACTCTGCACAGGCTTTGCCTCTGCCTCTCTGGAGTTAGGGCCCCGCATTTCTTTCTGTCCCTACCTCTTACTGCACTTGTCACACAGCATGTACTTAGCAGTGACTACCAAGAAAATAGAAATCCAGCTTGTTTGAATGAAGACATTCCATTACACAGATTCAAGACAATAAAACTAGTAATTTTTTTGAGGGAGAGAGACAGATGTAGCTCTCATGCACTGACCCCCCCCCACCCCAAGTTCTCACAGCTGGGAACTCAATCCAGGTCTTCCACATGAGAGGCAGGAACCCAAGTACTTGAACCATTACCTGCTGCCTCCCAGGGTGCTTATTAGCAGGAAACTGGAATCCACAGTGGAACCAGGGCTCCAAGACACTGCCATATGAGCTGTGGACTATACAACTGCTAGGCCAAATGCTCACCCCAACACTATTTTTGCAAAGTGAAAAATGACTTGGGAATAAGTCAGTTGCTGTTAATAGTTTCAGGTACTTTATAAGAAAATCAAATGAACTGTAAGATTAACTGGACTTTTAGCAGGGTTAATCTCTTCTTCAGTGATTTCTATGTTCTGTGAAGCTGTGGAACTAGCAATAGAAAATTGATGTGGAAGCTTGCAGTCTCTGGGCTGTGACACAGCTCTGTGGCCGGGTGTTCCAGATATGCCTCTGCTGAGCAGATTGGGCTCTCACACTTGTGACTTGTTTGGATCCCTAAACTGTCTCCCTTTACAACTTGGAATTAAGATCGATGGGGATAGAATCACATTTTGTTGACTAGGTAGCCACAGTCCTCTTGCTCCCTGTGATTCACTGTTTCCCTATCATATATTTTTGTGCAAAGTTGCAGAGTGTAGTCTGTGGTCTAATTCCCAGCTGGCCTGGCCCTAGAGGGGCTGTGAAGTGTTCCTGGGCTTGTTAAATTGGTGTGTTTGCATTTTACCGCCAGGAGGCTGTGCTGTAAACAATGAGGTTGAGCCACCAGCATGAGCCAGGGGATGAAATTTTATTTTAAAATCTGAAATGCTGTGTAAGCATTTAGGGTATGAATCGGTAATTGTCTGACAACAGCTTCCATTAGATATGGTTTATTTGTAGTCCGTCCTCTTTTCAGGGATCCAGGGGAGTGTTAACACACTGAAGCGGCCTGCATATCATTTACATTTTTTAACCAGCATTAAAGGAAAGTGACCCTAACTTTTAAGAGCACTAAATATTGGAATGGATTTTATGCCCCTGTCCCTGGAGGAAAACAGTCGGACTTTTCCCTTTGAAAATAAGAAATCTCCCTACTTTGATTTAGAATTTAAATAATTTTGAAAGCAGAGCAATACCATTAAAAAAAAGTCTGGTTCTAAGATTGAGAACTCACTTTTTACCCTAATGAATTCAGTGATTTTAAAAATCATCTGTCTAATTTGAGATTCGAGATCATCAAATTCTGTCTAAATATTTTGTTTTAACTTCTAAGCTCATTACGGTCCCTTTGTGTTAACTTGTATTAAAATCTGTCAGCTATGACTGGTCTCATAAGCACAGTCAGCGGAGCAGAATAAGTTAATTATTTACTTGTGTCACTAGTGCTCTTCATCTAATGAAATGCACAGCTGTGTTAGATCTGCAGTTGGATGTGTAGCTCCCATTGTCCCGCGAGTCAGCAGAGGGTAGAAGCCGCGGTGATGGAGAGCCCTCGGTTCTTTCTGCTGTTCTGGCTTTCTGTGTCGATTTCATGGATCTTTTATCATTCACTTTCACACAAAACAAACAACACAGGGCTGTCTGCTATGGGAACCATCTTGGCATATAAAAGGGTTTTCAGAGCCTAAAGTAATTTTAAGTTAGCTAAGATTTAATTTTTGGCTTACAGGTGCCCTTGGTTCGGAGACGAACCCAGCAGGTCCTGTAATGGAAGGGAGAAAAAAAATCCGAAAGCTGCTAGCATGTATTTTTTAAAGGAACTATCAGAAAGGAGCTGATAAGAGAACAACTTCCCCAAAAGGAAGCTGTGCGTTCTAAATATTAATCAGATTTCTAGTGAGTTATTAGAGATTCAGATTTCAGGGGAACGAGCATTTCTTTCATTTTAGCAGCATGATGAAGTTGAGTTCGCTTGATTAAATGCAGGAACTGAAAACACACAAACTCTGAGTCTCTCCTTCCCCTCCCCCCGTAGAAAGGCCTCCTTCCCACTCGCTCAGTTTTTGTACCTCTTGTCCCTCACTCCCACCTTCTCTTGGGAGCCAAGGGGCAGCTTCCTCCTGAGCAGACGCCGGCATCCCCCTGTGAACTGCTGCTTCAGGGGTGCCCAGAGCTGTCTTGGGTTTTGTTTTTAAGGGGTGTAGCTAAGCCCTCCACCTTCTCATCCAGACAGCCTGGGACTCTGGCCCCTCTTCGGAATTGCCGTTTTTAACATTTTGTTCACTACTAAACAATGTTGTTGTCTGTGCACTTAGATTTACAGTTTGATCTCTTTCAAGGCAGATTTCCCAGTAGCCCTGGGGTTTTGTCAGATAATTCCAGTGTGGGTAAGATGGATTTTTGGAGGACACACGCTCTGCTTGATTTAAATTCTAACACATCATGGCTGGAGTTGAAATCAAGTGAACGGAATGGGTGTCTCTGTTCTTGGTGTAAGAAAGCATAGATTCTTTATAATAAACAATACTATTTCAGCCAAAAAGCCCCCGGCCCTAGAATTCAGCTCTACAAGCCAAGTCACCGTTTTGTTGGCCACCACCAGAAGTCAGAATATTAATAGTCAAAGAGACACAGACTCCTTTGCTTACAGGCTTCACCTCCTGGTGATGATAACAAATCACTAAAATTTTATTTTAAAGTAGTTTGAATAGAATGAAAAAAATCAACAGCAGTGTCTTTTCAATAGGTGCAGATGGTTGGCAACTTTTAAGCTCAAGGAAAGTAATTTTGTCTTTTTCCAGTATAAAAGCATGTTCTTAGTGCAGTGCCACTGTACACTTGTTTTCAACTTCTGGATTGTGTAGAGGTGGTTAACACTCTAAATTCTACCCCTGTTTCTCCTCCCAAGAAAGAGAAATCAGAGGAATTAAGAACTATTTAGCCACAAAAGTCCCTTACAGGTTAGAATAATATTAAGGACATAATAAAGGACAGTTAATTTAGGAGAATACCAGTAGGGTAACACAGAGTTAGTAGGTTTTCTATTTTGTTCTGTTTTCATTCTTAGAATTCCACTTCTGAGTCTAGCCTTTTTCTCCAAGGATGATTTGGCATTTAATTTTCTTGTTCAACTTTACAAGTTCAATCAAAGATCGCTTTTCTAATGTGCTATAAGCTATAGGAATTAAAATTCCTGCTGGCAGTTTAGGCTTAGCCAAGGCAGCCCTGGCAAGAATCAGCCAGGCAACCAGCAGTCTGTAGCCAAGCGGTAGACCTATTAGCACATCAGCCACACACGAGGACTTCTTGTCGCAGCTTTTTAAGTCTGTGTTTTAAACGCACTCCCTTGTTCAGTCTGTGTTTGCTGGTCAGAGAACTTGCGTTCCTGGGACTTGGGTGCAGAACCTAGCAGATCAGAAACTCGCCAGTGAGCAGCAAAATCGCTGCCAGACCGTACGCCTCAGGGCCGCTGACAGGCCCAGGGCTCAGCGAAGCCACTGCCCCTCTGTCTCCACGGCCTGGAAGGGTGGGCAGGCAGCCTGGCGGCATCATTGTGTGTCAGGCCAATGGGGCAGGCCGCAGGCTGCAGCGCCTTTTCCGCAAGGAGACTCATTTCTGTACCGTTTGTCTAGCAGGAGTGTTGGAAATTGCCTTTGTTGCTCGTGATAGAGACCGTGGGGAAGGTTTCCGAGCAGTGGAAACAGAGATAGCAGCAGGGAGATGCCAATTAAGTACTGTAGTCCTCCTTTCTGCCGATTCGCTTTACGTGGCATGAAATCTTCTGTCCCCCAGGTGTTTGCGGCTTGATCGTCCCCCAGGAGGACATGCCGTTTTGTGATTCTGGCATCTGTCCGGACATCATAATGAACCCACACGGCTTCCCATCGAGAATGACGGTCAGTTACCTTTGGGTTTCTCGGGGGTGCCACTTTGAAGGAAGAAAGCAGGCAGGTAGTGGAGTTAGAGTGAGTGCGGGTGATGGGCCCCTGAGGCTGGATTTTAGAAAGAGCCCTTTGATCCCCTGCTGGATAAACAGGTCCCCAGCCCCTGACCACTCCGGGCCACACCTCTCTGCTGAACTTAACCTTGTGGTGAACCTAGGTGCATCCTTCCATACTCAGGGTTCCCCTTTCTGACCAGCGGAATGGCCTTGGACAAGTCACTGAACCTCCCTGTACCTGAGTCTCCTCTTCTGTAAACTGAGGGGATAACAGTACCTATCTCATGGCAGACTTGAGAGGCGTAAAATTTATTCACACGTGTGAGGCTTTTTCAAAGAGTCTGCCACACGGCAAGAAAGCCAGAAATTTGGCTGCTATTGATTTATCACTATTGTAATAGCAGTCGTCTCATGTCCGTTTGAGGATCTGAGCCAGAGAGAAATAGGCAGAGAGAATCCCTGTGCCACGGGGAGGTACTCACTGGAGCTGCTCCCTTCCCACAGGTGGGAAAGCTGATTGAGCTGCTGGCCGGCAAGGCTGGCGTGTTGGACGGCAGGTTCCACTACGGCACTGCATTTGGAGGGAGCAAAGTGAAGGATGTGTGTGAAGACCTCGTTCGCCATGGTTACAACTACTTGGGGAAGGACTATGTCACCTCCGGCATCACAGGGTGAGTAGGCTGTTGGGTCACCCAAAGGGGAAGAATGGGTTCGTTAGGACAGAGGTCAGAGACCTTAAGCACAAGTCATACTACACAGCAGCAGCACAGAATTGGTTTTGGCATTACAGATAGACCCTGCAAGGGTAACTGGTCGGACCTGTTTCTGTTAAAAATATGGAGCACTTTTTATAGTCTCTCAGGGAGCAAGCATTTGATGGCAGTGACTTAAGTTGCCACTTGGGGTGCCCACTTCACATGTCAATGCCTGGTTTAAGTCTTGCTGTTCCTCTTCCTATCCAGCCTCCTGCTAATGGGCATCCTGGGAGGCTGCAGAGGATGGCTCCAATACTTGAGTCCTTCCCAGGCTCCTGGCTTCAGCCTGGCGCTGGCTTTTGCATGCCTTAAGCAAGTGAACCAGCTGATGAAAGCAAATAAAAGTGAAAATAAATAATGAAATCATTTAGCCATACTATGGTACTATGGATTTGTTAGGTATATGATACTTGAGGTGTTCTAGAATCACGGTAGGGGTTTTGACTCAACAGGGTTAAGTAATGCCGGCTGTTCGGCTTCTGATCCAGTTCCCTGCTAATGTGCCTGGACGGCAAAGGATGATGGACTAATCCACATGGGAAACATGGATGGAGTTCCGGGCTCCTGGCTTTGGCCTGGCCCAGCCCTGGCTATTTTGAGGCCATTTCGAGAGTGAACCAGTACATGGAAGATTCATTCATTCTCTCTCTCTCTCTCTCTCTAGTGCTTTATCTTTCAAATAAGTAAATCTTTAAAAAAAAAAAAAAAAAGACAAGATGACATGGTAGGAAAAGACTAACATTCTATTTCAAAATGGTTCAGTAAGGCTGGCGCCGCAGCTCACTAGGCTCATCCTCCACCTGCGGCGCCGGTACCCCAGGTTCTAGTCCCGGTTGGGGTGCCGGATTCTGTCCCGGTTGCTCCTCTTCCAGTCCAGCTCTCTGCTGTGGCCTGGGAAGGCAGTAAAAGATGGCCCAAGTCCTTGGGCCCTGCACCCCTATGGGAGACCAAGAGGAAGCACCTGGCTCCTGACTTCAGATTGGCACAGCACGCCAGCCGTAGCAGCCATTTGGGGAGTGAACCAAGGGAAGGAAGACTTTTCTCTCTGTCTTTCTCTCTCACTGTCTAACTCTGCCTGTCAAATAAAAAAAAAAAAAAAAGGCCGGTTCCAGCACCCTGGGTTCTAGTCCCCGTTGGGGCGCCGGATTCTGTCCCGGTTGCTCCTCTTCCAGTCCGGCTCTCTGCTGTGGCCCGGGAGTGCAGTGGAGGATGGCCCAAATTCTTGGGCCCTGCAACCACATGGGAGACCAGAAGGAAGTACCTGGCTCCCGGCTTCAGACTGGCGTGGCGCGCCGGCCGTAGTGGCCATTTTGGGGGTGAACCAATGGAAGGAAGACCTCTTTCTCTGTCTCTCTCTCTCTCTCTCTCACTAACTCTGCCTGTCAAAAAAAAAAAAAAAAAAAGGTTCCGTATAATAATGGAAGTTCATTTTTTAAAAACAGTATTTATTGCTAAATTGATCATCTTTCTACTTATCCACCCAAAAAATACAAATGTTGACCAGAAAGTGTGAATGCCATAGAATCAATATAGTAGAAACTTCCTAAACATCACTGTTGTGAAAGACTTGGACAGACTGTGTCCTGCCTACTATGGACGCAGGAGTCTGTGCCCCAGTCCACACTGCCTCCCCCAAGGTCCCCAGCCAGAGTTTTTCATGGCAAAGTTGAGAAACACCGTTTAGCCTGCTTGATGAAAATTCCGCAGAGGGCCTGCAGACATACTTACCCACGAGCTTTTGTCCCTTGTTTATTCTTGAACATAGCTGGAAGGGATGTTCTACGTAAGTGGAAGGGAAAAGGCTTTGTTCTGTTGGTGGTGGAAGGGCACTGCATGACAGTTCTCTAAATTCTATGAGCAGCCATGCTATTGAGGACTAGAATCATTTGTTACCGGACATGGAAAAAACCTTGATCTGAGCATTTGATTGTAGAAAACAGAGAGAGAGATTGTACAATTACTGTGCAACAGAGCTGAGATGAAAACAGGGTCCCAAGATGTCCTCTCCATTGTGCCTCCCACCCTCCTCTGCGGCTTCCGAGAATCCGGTTGCACGTGAGCCAGCAGAATGGCTTGGTAACTGCAGAGGCCTCTGAATGAGGCTGACTGTGTTATCACGTGCAGCGAGCAAACAAGGACCAAACCTTTTTCATTGCCGCTCTGCTGTGTGTATTGCTTCATTTGCCCTTCCTACTGGAGCCCCAAATTGGCTTGTTTCAAGACCAGCCAGTGTGGCAGGGAGAGCATTGGCTTTGAATCCATGCTGACCCCTCACCAGCCTGTGTTAGCATCGCAGACCTTCTGTGCTTTTTTCCCTGCATCTTCAGAACAGGGACAGCAATGCTCCCTTCCTGAATGGTTGTGTGGATTAAATGGAGCATGTGGATTCTTCTTTTCCTTTGAGGAAGGAAGTTCTGAGACAGTTCTGGTTCCAGACTAAAGAAAAAAAGATGTCTCTGTCAAAGCACTTATATATTCAGTCACTTTAAAAACTTTCATGACAGTTCTTCCAAAGTTGCATGGAATCCATGTTTACTAGACACTTGGGGTCATGGGTGCGGAGCCCTATGGACCAAGGAGACAAAGTGCAGAGTTTATTTCTTGTGGGGAAGATGAGCAGTCATCAAAGAATTCAGTGTGCACTACAGTCCCTGAAGGTGTTGAGTACACTGGAGGGTGAGGTTGAGATGTGCAGGGTGGGAAGAGAACTCTTCTAGATGAGCTGAGCAGAGAGGGCTCTCTGAAGAGGGGAAATGTTTGACCTGGTGAAAGAATGTTTCCTGGCATATCAAAATTTGGAATGGCAGGCACCAGGAAAAGTCGCATAATGTCATAGGCTGCATTTGAGGAGTAATGAAGAAGCTGGTGTTGTTGGAAGAGAGTGACCAAGCAGGGAATGAGAAGTGAGTCTGGGGTCAGATGGAACCAAATTCTGTTTGACATTATGGCTGTGACACAGAATTTCGCCATTATAGGTTGTAAGTTTAATGGGAAGCCACTGGGGAGTTTATTGTGATTTACATTTTAGGAGGCATGGCCCTGGCTTGTTATGTGAAGAATGGACTGTCGAAGGATACGTTTAGAAGCGGGAAGGTCAATTAGAGGACTGTTTGTGGTAGGGTAGGCGAGAGGGGATGGTGGCCTCACTGGAGTAGAAGCCATGAAGGATGGGTCATCTTACACACATTGCTTCAGGTGTTTATTTCTCTGTGAACCATTTATCTTTCAGTGTAGCTGTGGTGCTTTTATTTCTTTCAGATCTAGCCTTTTTATTCACTCAGTCAGTCGTATGTAAGTAGCAACCAGCCTAGGACGAGTCTTAGAAAAAGCCATTACTTGTTAACTAACCCAAACATGCGGACCTGTCTTCCAGAGAGCCGTTAGAAGCCTACATCTACTTTGGCCCCGTGTACTATCAGAAACTGAAGCACATGGTGTTGGATAAGATGCACGCCCGCGCCCGGGGCCCACGTGCCGTCCTCACCAGGTAAGAGGAAAACATTGCAAGAATCTATAGTACCGTCAAGTCCACCTTGCAGTTTTCAGTTAGAGCAGTAAGCAGACTCAGTGAAGTTTCTGTTTTCCTGGATGTTAAAATTTGGAATGTTAAGCACTGGGGAGGGGGAAACGTATGTATTATTAACTGAAAAAAGAAGTTACCAATTAAAAATCACTTTGCAGGCACAAGAACAAACCCACTGTGTAGGTCTTGCCAGTGGCCTCCTAAATACAGCCATTTGGAGTGTAACGCTCTGCAAATGCAATCCTATTCCGAGGGGCTCCAAGGAGGGAACTTTAAAATGTTTATGGAAATGCAGCTAAAACTAAGTTTATTTTGACGTGAAAAGTTCTGAAATCCATGCATAGTTTTTTCATAATACACACTTCCATGAATTCTTCCAAGTACCCTGTATCAGTTTACCTGCATGTACCCATGCACATATGGAAAATGCCCAAACCACATTTGTACTTCTAAGACTGTAATAGAAACAGAAGGCTCCAGTACTTGCATGCTTATTTGTTTTTGTTTATTTTATTTTTAATTTTCAACTAGCATTTAATACTTGTGCCTTTTTTGGGGGTATAGTGCATTATTTCAACACATACAAATCATAAATGGATCAATGGATCAAATCAGGCAGTTAGCACTTCCATTTCCTGTTCTTTATGTTTGGAGCCTGTCAGCTCCTCTCTCCTGCCCCACTGTGCTGTGAAACACCAGGACCGGCTACTGCCATCTGTGTGTATTCTGGTATGCATTGTCCAGCCTCCCCCTGTCCCTTTCCCACCAATCTTCCCTGTCCCTCGTGATCACTTGAACAGCCACACATGACCGAGAATGCTACTTGCTTATCTGAGTCAGCTCCAGGAGGAGAGGGCCTGTGAGTGCCCACTTCCCCAGCATGCCCTCAGTTCCAAGCATAGAGTCTGTGTTGATGAGTGGGTAACTTTATTGGGGAAGGAAATCACAAGTTCTTTGTATCAGTATTTTGTGTCTTTAGGTTCCATGTTGCAGGCTCAGCCAACTATGGATCAGAAATATTTGGGAGAAAAATTGTGCCTGTACTGGACAATGTATGGAATTTGTTTCTTATCAGTATTCCCCAAACAAGACAACTATTTACATGGCACTTACATTGTTTTAGCTATTATAAGTAATCTAGAGATCATTCAAAGTACAGATAAGTTGCATAACAACATTTCAGTCAGAAGACTACATCTATGATGAGGGTCCCCTAAAATTATAATGGAGCTGAGAACTTTCTGTCACCCAGGGACACTGTAGCACAAGCAACTGTAGTACAAATACAACTGTGCTAACAGTTGTACAAAAAGTCTAGCAGATACAGTTATGTAAGGTCCATAATACTTGATAATTAGTGACTACGTTACCGGTGTATATGTTTTCTCTACTTCTTCATCTTTATTTTATTTCTACTTACAAAAAGTCTGTTGTAAAACAGAACGCCAGTACACCGTCTGTAGCCTCGTACATCTCGTGGTTACCACATCTCTTGATTGCATCCTTTTCTCTCATGCTTGATTTAATCACACCTGTGTTTTGTTCATCATGGCCACAGGAGCAGTGGGCTGTGCCATATAGCATATGCCATGTATGCCATATGCCATATATATAGCCTAGGTGTGCAGTAGACTTCCCCCTGGGTTTGTGTAAGTACACTCTGTGGTGTTCACACAACAGGAGAATCACCTAACTCTGCATTTCTCAGAACATACCCCTGTTGTCAAGTGATGCATGACTGTACACTGGTGGGTGTGGATAGGGGACTTGAGTAGGCTTAGATGTTGTTGTCCTCAGGTAAGCCTGGAACCAGTGCCCCTAGATAGTGAGGGACAGCTGTGCTGTTTCTTGTGCTCTTAGTAATGTTTTTTGGAGTTGGAGAAGCATAGTTCAGGGCGGTAGATCTCAATAGGGCTGATTTTGCCACAATCCCCCCCCCCCCCCCCGACACACACACTCAACACACCACCCGGAACATTTGACAACATCTGGAGACATTTTTAGTTGTCACAACTTGGGGGTGGGAAGGGAGCTACTTTCACCAGGGGGTAGAGGCTGGCCATGCTACTTGGCATCCTAAAGCACACAGGACCACCCAGCCAATGAAGAGAGTTACCTGGCTCGGTGTGGCCCTGCTACTGAGACAGGTAGGCTTGGGCATGGCCTCCTCTCCACCTCTAAGCACCATCACAAGCCTCTCTCTGTTTTAGTTTTTCTCAAATATAAAGCAGAGATGACAGTACCTGCTTCCCAGGGTGCTGTGACTGTCAGGTCCTTAAATACAGAACGTACACCCTACCAGTCCATAAGAGGTGCTCAGTGAGTAGCCAGTTCCCTCCCTGCTGTCACTGTGTACTGCCGGGCTGGTAACGTACGGGGGTAGGGGAAGAAGAGTAAAGCAGTAAGGTGTGGGTTCTATGGTCTTATCAACCAAGGGCGAGGTGTGGATGACTCAGTCCCTTCCCCGTGTACAGCCAAGTGGATGTGCATCTGTTGTACTGATGGAAGAGAGGTTGCGGTCAGGAGAGCAACCCCCTTACTTACTTACTTTCTTTCTTTCTTTCTCTCTCTCTCTCTTTCTCTCTTTCTCTTTCTTTCTTTCTTTCTTTCTCTCTTTCTCTCTTTCTCTCTGTCTCTCTGTCTCTCTTTCTCTCTGACAGAGTGGACAGTGAGAGAGAGAGACAGAGAGAAAGGTCTTCCTTTTCCATTGGTCCACCCTCCAATGGCCGCTATGGCCGGCGCACCGCGCTGATCCAAAGCCAGGAGCCAGATGCTTCTCGTGGTCTCCCATGCGGGTGCAGGGCCCAAGCACTTGGGCCATCCTCCACTGCACTCACGGGCCACAGCAGAGAGCTAGACAGGAAGAGGGGCAACCGGGACAGAATCCGGTGCCCCGACTAGGACTAGAACCCGGTGTGCCGGCGCCGCAGGCAGAGGATTAGCCTAGTGAGCCATGGCGCCGGCCTCCCCTCACCTTCTTGAGTAGCCGTCCCCTCCTGCACTGCCATTTCAGTGGCAGCCCCAACGCTCTTTCAGAGTAACACAAATGTCAGAGCTGTTACTTCCTATACACTGCTTTGTTGTGTAGAAGAAGTTAATTTTTTTAAGATTTTATTTATTTGACAGGTAGAGTTACAGACAGTGAGAGAGAGAGACAGAGACAAAGGTCTTCCATCCATTGGTTCACTCCCCAAATGGCCGCAATGGCCAGAGCTATGCTGATCTGAAGCTAGGAGCCAGGTGCTTCTTCCTTGTCCCCCATGTGGGTGCAGGGGCCCAAGGACTTGGGCCATCTTTTTACTGCTTTCCCAGGCCATAGCAGAGAGCTGGACTGGAAGAGGAGCAACCGGGACTAGAACCGACGCTCATATGGGATGCCGGCACCGCAGGCGGAGGATTAACCTAGTGCGCCACGGCAGTGGTTCCACAAGTTATGTTTTTTGAATTGCTTTTGTGTCTTCCATTTGAAGACTGGTTGAAGTACATTTATTTGTAGTCAGTTAACTTAGTTGGTTAAAATCCAAGGCCCTGCCCACATGTAGTCAGTCTGTCTGCCCTCTCCTTATCCGGTGACCTCAAGGGGAGGGAGCACCTACCCGTGACTGTTTCTACCCACAGATAAAGTTGTATGAATGCTGTGCTTGGTTGTGCAGTTTCTACTATAATGTGTTCATTTAAACCTGACTTTTTCGTGTGTAGAGTTTCTTTCAACAAGTAATCTATGGCTTTTTTTGATTCTCCATTGTAACCTTCAATCCCATGCCAAAAACAGCATTAAAATTTCTACATACATTGGCATACACTGTGTTCACCTTCTTAATTCTTTAGGAAGCTAGTGACAATGACAAAGATTAAAAGATGCTGTGGAATAAAGCAAACCTGGAGTTTATGGTCCACGCTGCTCCAAGAGCTCCTCCAAGAAGTGTCACTCTGGGGCCAACATAGTGGCCCTGAGGGTTAAGCCACTGCCTGCAATACTAGCATCCCATATGGGCATCAGTTTTAGTCCTGGCTGCTCTACTTCCAATCCGGCTCCCTGCTGATGTGCTGGGCAAGCAGTGGAGTTCAGCCTAGGTGTTTGGGTCTTTGCCACCCACATGGGAAACACGGAAGAGGCTCCTGGCTTTGGCCTGGCCTAGCCCCAGCCATTGTGGCCAATTGGGGATTAAACCAGCTGATGGAAGACCTCTCTCTCTCTCTCTCTCTCTCTCTCTCCCCCCCCCCCCCCTCGCGCACGCTCTCTCTCTCTCTGTAACTTCCTTTCAAATAAATAAAAATAAGTCTTTTAAAGAAATCACTCCGAAGTAAGCCAACCACAGAGTTCACTTCTCCCTTGGTTTTCCTTTTCTCAAACAGTTTGTGTGGTTAATATTGAGGTGAGGTTGCCTGAATTATTCAGAATTCCCTAATTTTACCTCCATCGCTGGTTCTTGGGTATTTAACCTTTTAAGGTTTTCCCATCATATATTTAAAACACAGGGAGTCCATTCAGGGGACAGACCTGTCTACTAGGGGACTCTTGTTTCAGCCACTGTCTGTTCTGCTGAGTTTTTCTGCTTTAAATAACAGAATACCAAGACAGCTCTGAGAACGCTCAGACATCGTTCCCTGATTGGAGGACTTTACTATTGGGATATTGCTAGCACTAATGTTTTATGTGGTAATATACTAACACATTATTGCATCATATGATATAATTATGGTATTTATTAATAACCGCCAGTAGTATGTCTTTTCTCATTGGAGGCTCTTTGGGATGGGTAATTTTTTGCACTTTCACAATGAGGCTAAGCAGCAGTGTTCAAGGTTACTGTCTAGTAAGTGAGTTGGATCCAGGTGAGCCCAGCTCCAAAGCCTTGTGCTCCTAGTCAGCGTGTGGCACTCTTTGTTTCTTTACTATAATAACACATTTGTCTAATAATTTGTTTCAAAGGCAGCCTACAGAAGGTCGATCTCGTGATGGTGGCTTGCGTCTTGGAGAAATGGAACGTGACTGTTTAATCGGTTATGGAGCCAGCATGCTTTTGCTAGAGAGACTAATGATTTCAAGTGATGCCTTTGAGGTTGACGTCTGTGGCCAGTGTGGACTTCTGGGGTATTCTGGCTGGTAAGTAGATCCCATGTGTCTCTCCTACCACACCCCTTGCCTCTAAAATCACAGCTCAAGAATTGAACCTGGATAATCCATATTGTCCCATCTCTGCCTCTGATCACCAACATGCCCTTCCCCCTATGTGCCTGTAATTGAGGAAGCTGTAGGTTTTGTTTATCTGCATAACAATCTGCTTTTATATTTACTAGAATTTAAACTTCCAAGGAGTAGATACTTTTATCTTTTTTTTTTTTTTAATGTTATCTCAAGTGCCTTTCATAACACTCTTTACCCAAAAAATTCCTAGCAGATGCATTGTGTAAAATGTCCTCATTTGTAACCTCTGACACAGAGAACCAGGTAGGTTGCCACAGGCCTTAAATAAATTGATGATAGAGCCAAAGGACCAGGGTCTGGTGCCCTGACCCCTTGTCTGTTTTCTCTGCTGTGGCCAGCTACTTCACCCTTGCTCTGTACATTCCACGAGAGAAGCCATGTTACTTCACCCTTGCTCTGTACATTCCACGAGAGAAGCCATGTCTGTCTTAGTCATTCATTCAGCAAATATTTAATGAGTATCTCACTATCAAGTGTCACGTGGCTGTTCCAGGCCTCAGAAATGCTGGTACAGTAGTGACCAGGACAGGTAAATGGCTGCTCACGGGGAACTTGTCTTCTAGTTCATTCTGAGTGGTTACATTCTGTCTTGTTGACCCCTGCGTCTCCAGCCTGGGACCTGGTCCATGGTTCACAAAAAATAATTACAAAATAATATCTTGCATTTGTCAGATTGCCCATAAGTAATTGAAAGCCTCCTTTGGACAGAGCCCAACCTCTTGCTGTCCTTAGCTGCCAGCGTCTTGGTTAAATAAAGCAAATCAAGAGTTCAGAACAAGGGGGCTTCTTTGAACCCAGTGTATACCTTGCTTGTTCAGTGACAAAACCTTTGAGCCAATTATTGTATGCTTTGGGTGTAGAAGAATTGATGAGTCTGTCTGTGCAGAAATCTTTTCATTTATGAGCTAGCGGGCGTGGTGGCCTCTGCAGCTCCTCCTTTTCATCTGGTTGTGAGATGGGCGACATTATTCTGGAGGTGAGCTTGGCCCTTTCTTTAGCAGTGAGGCAGCGGTTTGTTTCCATCCTGAGATGTCTATGTGTCTTTTGAAATGCATATTGAGCTTGCTTTTCATAGTCTGGGGTGGAGAGAAGAAATAATGTAATAGGGAGACACCTGGAACCTCGTTCCACTAGGCCAAGTCTTCAAATTTGGCACAAGGGTTTTTAAGTAATTTACCTTGAAAGGATGGGACGGAAGAGCCATCTCATTCAAAAAAGAGTTCCCTTTTGTTGTCCTCCTCCCTCCTATCCTCCAAAGGAGAAAAGCAACAGTAAACCAGATTTGCGTCTGCACTGTGCCGGCTTCCGGATGCTCAGGGAATGAGGCGTGTAGGCAGGCCCCCGGACGCAGGGGTCCATCACAGTACCGTTCTGTTCTAGGCCTGTCCTCGGCTGCTGAGTCCCTTGGCATTTCCGGGTTGCCTGATGGCAGTACCCAGCTTTGAAGGTTAATGTGCTCAGAGTATTCTGTATTTGAAATCCTTTGAACGAGGACTGTATCAGGTTATACCTTTTGAGGGTCTTTGCTGTGGTTAAACTAGACCTTAATCTACCTGCCACATGTCTGATTCTGAGTGGCCTGCTCACTCCCTGCTGCCTCGCCATTCTGGTGGTCCGGCAGCCTCCCTGAGCCTGGCGATGCTGTCGTCCCGCTGGCTGTGTGGGAGGGAGGGAGTGCGGGCGTCTGCAGGAAGTCGCTCTGTAATGAGCAGCACAGTGGAGGCTGGGTAATTAGAGCGGTTCAGAACCTTGAAACTGGCCTTTTGTCAGTGATTTGCACATTAGTACGGCATTGCTATGGGGATGTTTACAGCAAGACCTGCTCCACAGAAGACGCCAAGGGCGGAAGTCAGGACAGAGGTTCAGAAGGAGCACGGCAGATGAGCAGGTCCCTGTGAGATAATTAGCCCCTAGCAGGTATTTCAGCAGGCAGACTCTTCCTGTATGAAGCCGTGGCCTCGTCCTGCTGCTGCCGCCTTTGTCCTTAAAAAAAAAAAAATCAGTCTATTTCATTGTTCATGTCAAGTTTCTAGCTTTGGAAGTTGTTCAGAGACAGGGTGAGGTAGTTATATTGCACACACACTCATTGGAACATTTTCCATGATAGAAAAAATTTTTAATGCTAGAGAAGATTAATGGACTATCTGGATTATGAATCAGTACATTTGGAAATTTTAGAGAGGTTAGCTTGAAGTCAGGGACATATCCGAGACAGGAGAATCAGCAGGAAGTTACCCTGTGGAATCCATGTCCCCGATTTCGTTAGAGCACGAATGTGATCCTGCAGAGACTAGATCAGCCCTGGCACATTACAGTTTCGTTTTACCAGTTGCTAAAACCATCCCAAAATATTCAGTAGTTCCAGAAATACAAAGAAAAGGTGACAGTCGTCTTAATCCCCAGAGATGACCCCTGTTAGCATCTTAGTGACTTCAGACATCTCAGATTGCCAGTAGTTCTTTGATTTTTTTATTTGACTGGGATCCTTTCAAGATTCTGATAACAGCAGAAAAATACAAATATACACTTGAGAAAAGATCTCTAGCACTTCACATGCTGTTTTAAGGGCCCTGTACACTCACTGAAACCCATCTGCAGCCTCCTGTTACTGCGCTGTTTAGCAGACTGCCCTCTTCACTCTGCAGTGTGTCCTGCACACCTTACATCTGCATAAATATGATCTATGTTGTCTCGGTATGGCTGCACAGTGTCCTTCTGTGTAATGTCCTGTACTCACAGGACCACTGGCCCGGGGGCCACGTGACTTGTCTGCTTTATGCTGTCGCACACGGCATAGCGTGATTGAGATTGGTCTTGTACGCGTGTCTGGCACTTTGTGCTCACTTGACCCAAGAACACGTGCATTTACACACATTTCCTGCAAGTAGGCATTACTGCCCACGTCTTCTCATCAGCATGGCATCTCTGAGCCTCTGTTGCAGGTCTTCTTGCACCTGTGTCCTCTCCTCCTCCCGTTACCTGGAGGACCTGGCTTTCTCCCTATTAAATACCAGCATTTGTGCTGGATACCTGGGGTACCTGGTGTCTTAGCTGCCCCAGACCCCTGGGTAGTAGTTTAACATCCTGTTGTGGCCTAAAACTTGAAATAAAATTCCGCTTTCTCCTGGGACCCCTTGTTCAGTTTAGTTATTAAGATCTAAGTTCAGGGACCAGCACTGTGGCATAGAAAGTTAAGCTACTGCCCTTGGTGACAGCATCCTATATGGGTGCCAGTTCAAGTCCCAGCTGCTCCACTTCTGATCCAGCTCCCTGCTAATGTGCCTGAGAAAGCAGTGGAAGTTGGCTCAAGTCCTTGGACCCCTGCCACCCATGTGGGAGACCCAGAAGAATCTCCTGGTTCCTGACTTCAGCCTGGCCCACCCCTGGCTGTTGAGGCCATTTGGGGAGTGAACTAGCAGGTGGAAGATTCTCTCTCGCTCTCTCTCGCTCTCCCTCTCTTTCAGATAAATAAATTAAAAAAAAAAAAAAAAAGACCTAAGTTCAGTTCATCTGCTCTTCTGAAAGAAAGAAAAAAGAAAAAAATCCTAGTTGGAATGGCGAGCATATTGGTTAGGAACAGGGCTGTTGTAAGGATTAAGTGGGAATATATGCACATATCTGTGCACATACATATTCTTATTGCACAAAGCCTTGCATGCTGTCAGTGCAGTAGCTGACAGAAATAACCCAGCCTGAAGAACGCTGGGGAAGTTAGCATTTGATTAGATACACGCTCACATTCAGACTTTGACTATCTCAGGATAGTCATGGTTTCACATCTTACCTAGAATAGTATGCCAGTGTAGTGGCTGCTTATCAAATACATGGAGATTGAAGCAATTTAAAACTCTATTAACCAACAAAAAATATAATCTGAAGAATTTGAGTAAATTTCCAGTGCTTGGGCATGTAGGCAAGTGTTTTGCATTTTAAGGAGAAAGGTCTAGAAGTATGGTAGTAACTGATTCAAGTTGTATGCTTCTAAAACTGGAGGGAGTGGGATTTGTTTTTATTTTTTCTTTTGCTTCCATGGATGTTTCTATTTTCCCGAGCATTTATGTACGTACTTGATAGTGTGGACATTTAGAAATAGAAAAATAACTGATTTGATGGAATGCTAGTAGAATTGTATAGAGAAAACTCTCATTTCCTCCATGGAGGCCTTCGCTTTGGCACTGCTGTCCCTCTAACACGTGCTGACTTGGGTTTCAGGTGTCATTACTGCAAGTCATCGTGTCATGTGTCTTCCCTCCGCATCCCGTACGCCTGTAAGCTGCTCTTCCAGGAGCTGCAGTCCATGAACATTATCCCCAGGTTAAAACTGTCCAAGTACAATGACTAAGGATGGAAAAGATGACTAACTAAGGAGAACAATAGACACATCCAACGCAGTGGAAAGCAGAAGGAATGGAGGTCTACTTTTGCTCCTGTGAGTCAATCCTTTGAATGTTGGCTCATAAAAACAAACAAGAACTGTTGGCAGGAGTTTTTTATATACCAGAAAATGGACTGGACGACCTTGACCAGTGAGCGGACCCCAAGCCATGGGAGCGTTGCTGACACACGGCCTGCGGTGCAGTTTGACTAACAAGGAGACATGACCCAAGGGGTAAATGAGCTGCTGTTTGTGTCTGGTACCTTGCAGCAGCCTTGTTAGGAAGACCTCACCCATTAAGAAGGATGCTTGCGTTTAAGTTTCCCTTGGCATCTTTTGGCTGACGAAACTGAAGCTTCTCATGACTCTGGAGGGTATGAAGAATCCCTGTGACTCCATCAGCTTGGCTTCTGTCGAGGTGGCCGATCCTGAGCAGAATATGAAGAAAGAGGACCGTGGGAAGCCATGGCAGCGGCCAGAAAAGTGCCGGCTTTCCTGCCTGGTGCTGTGAGACCATAAGTGTTCCCTGCAGTTGAATCTCGCCCTCACACACCCAAACCTTGTCCTTTTAATCCTGGTGGGATATAATAAATATATTGCTACCTTGTTAAGCCAAAATGTCGTCTTTTCTGATGGTCTCTATCACTGTTTTGAACCTGCACGATGGTACCGTGCAATCCTATGTGGTAAAGAGCTGAATAAAACTCCTTGGATTCTCTGTCACTTTCTGTTCACAGTAAGTCAGAAAAGCTCCAAGTAATAGACAGCAGCTGCATGCCCATCGTGTCACATCTAAGATACTCCATGGAATTTTGGTAGTTATTACACACCAACAAGAATCAAGGTTGGGAAGCTGGCTGTAATCAAGTGAATCGTACACAGGACATTTTCACAGCTTTTTATTCTTTTGTTCTATATTGACAGGCAGAGTGGACAGTGAGAGAGAGAGACAGAGAGAAAGGTCTTCCTTTGCCGTTGGTTCACCCTCCAATGGCCTCCGCGGCCGGCGCGCTGCGGCCGGCGCACCGCGCTGATCCGATGGCAGGAGCCAGGAGCCAGGTGCTTTTCCTGGTCTCCCATGGGGTGCAGGGCCCAAGCACCCGGGCCATCCTCCACTGCACTCCCTGGCCACAGCAGAGGGCTGGCCTGGAAGAGGGGCAACCGGGACAGAATCCGGCGCCCCGACCGGGACTAGAACCCGGTGTGCCGGCGCCGCTAGGCGGAGGATTAGCCTAGTGAGCCGCGGCGCCGGCCCATTTTCACAGCTTTTAATGACCCCAAGCTAGTGTGTACTGGGACTCTACAGAAGAAAAACATTCTGGGGAGCTAGACAAGTCATTGACTCAAGAAGTCAACCTCATTTTCCTTCCTTCGCAGTAAAAATCTGTAGCAGCAATCACGGAGACTTTGCAGTAAAAGCAAAAGGAAGTTGTTGAGTTGAGCAGGCCTTGCTCAGTCTTCAAAGGCAAGGCCGCGCCACAGCTCACTAGGCTAATCCTCCGCCTGCGTCGCTGGCACCCCGGGTTCTAGTCCCAGTTGGGGCGCCGGATTCTGTCCCGCTTGCTCCTCTTCCAGTCCAGCTCTCTGCTGTGGCCCGGGAAGGCAGTGGAGGATGGTCCAAGTGCTTGGGCCCTGCACCTGCATGGGAGACCAGGAGGAAGCACCTGGCTCCTGGCTTTGGATCAGTGCAGCACAGCAGCCATTTTGGGGGTGAACCAATGGAAAGAAGACCTTTCTCTCTGTCTCTCTCACTATCTAACTCTGCCTGTCAAAAAAAAAAAAAAAGAAAAAAAGAAACAAGGACAAATAATGTATGCTTTTAGGGTGACATTTTATAAAAAAGACTAAAACACAGGTTTAGAGCCTGTACTCTTAGCCACTTAGTCACCTGATAGGTTTCTTTAAAACTTATTATTAAATATTATTTAAAATAATATTTTAATGTATTATTTAAAATAATACATTCAGAAAGGAGAAAAATCTTGAGTTTCTCTCTATATATACATTTTTTTTTTTTTTTGACAGGCAGAGTGGACAGTGAGAGAGAGACAGAGAGAAAGGTCTTCCTTTTGCCATTGGTTCACCCTCCAATGGCCGCCGCGGCCGGCGCGCTGCGACTGGCGCATCGCGCTGATCCGATGGCAGGAGCCAGGTGCTTCTCCTGGTCTCCCATGGGGTGCAGGGCCCAAGGACTTGGGCCATCCTTCACTGCACTCCCAGGCCATAGCAGAGAGCTGGCCTGGAAGAGGGGCAACCAGGACAGAATCTGGCGCCCCGACTGGGACTAGAACCCGGTGTGCTGGCGCCACAAGGCGGAGGATTAGCCTATTGAGCCACGGCGCCAGCATATATATACATGTTAATGAATTTCCATAAAATGGACACACTCACATAATGAACACATAGTTACAAAACAAACAGAAGCCGCCACCAGCATGCTATCAAAACTCCTCTTGCACCCTCACAGTCATTAGCCACCCACTCTACACAGGCAACTATTAGCACCACTTTTTTTTTTTTTTTTTTTTGAGAGGCAGAATAACAGACACAGAGAAGTCTTCCATCTGCTGGTTCACTCCCCAAATGGCCGCATCAGCCAGAGTTGGGCCAATCTGAAGCCAGGAGCCAGGAGCTTCCTCCGTATCACCGTTTCTTATATAATAGATTAGTCGTGCCTGTTTTTAAATTTAAAAGGAACTGCCAGTGCAGTTGGGGCGTAACTCTTTTTCCCTCCAATATTCTATACTGGAGATTATCTATGATATGATACATAACAGCAATCCATTATTATTACTGCAGGGTTCCACTGTGTGACAATACTGTGATTTATTCTAATGTGAACAGATAGGGGTTATTTACAACTTGGGGCTGTTACAGATAATACCTCCATAAACATCTTTTACGCATCAAATGGTAACACGTATGTACATGTTTCTTTGGGCCATACACATGCAAATGGTAATTATCGGGTATCTCAGTTTTAATGACTACTGCCAACAGTTTAGTCTGTGCTGCTAGCAATTGTCCAGTGCCTTGGGGAGTATGATGGACTGAGTGGTGTGCCCTCAAAACCCATGTTGAAGCCCCAAGTCCCACTGTGACCATTTTTGGGAGTGAGGGCTTTCAAGGAAGTAATTAAAGTCACACGAGGTGGTCAGCATGGGATCCTAATCTGGTAGGACCAGTGTCCGTATTGAGGCTTGCTTTCTTCAAGTGTGTACTAAGAGAGGTCATGTGAGGACACATCGGGAAGGCAGGCAGCTGTCAGCAGCCAGGAAGAGAGCCCGCATCAGACACCAACCCTCTGTCTTGGACTTGAACCTCCAGAGCTGTGAGAAGTTAGACCTCTGCCGTTCCACCCCCAGTCAGTGCGCTCTGTGACAGCAGCCTGGGCTGACATGTCCAGAGGAAATGTGGTGGAGAAGCTGAGCTCACCTCCATGGGTGTTCACTTTGTTTGGCATCCCCAGTTCTGGTGTCTTGGCAACTCCGAGCCCAGTTTTGTCTCCCCAGCCCCCAGCTCTTGATTCTGCCAAAACTCATGTGAGGGTCACAGCCTCTTAGTGGCTTTGGCCTGGCGTTTGAGCTTCACCCCTGTGCCACTTGCAACTCGGGAAAAGCATGGATGGAAAAAGTGCTTCAAGGGTGGCCTCTACAAATTACCATTTTGGAAATGGAAATGTAATTGGTAGTTTTTAAAAACAGAAACTTGAAAATAACTTTAAAAAACAAAACTCTTTTAGGACTAGCTTACCAATTCTGGCTTCCTTTTATTAACGTAGTTCTCAAACAGCTATTCAGGGGTGGGCATTTGGCCGAGCAGCTAAGATGCTGGTTGGGACACTTGCCCACATCCCGTATTGGAGTATCTGGGTCTGAATCCCAGCTCTGGCTCCTGATTCCATCTTCCTGCTAATGCAGACCTGGAGAGGCAGCAGGTGAAGGCTCAAGTAGCTGCTACCCACGTGGGAGACCCAGACTGAATTCCCCGCTCCTGGCCTTGGCCTAGCCCAACCCAGGCCATGGTAGGCAACTAGGAAGTGAACCTTAGGACAGAGGTCTATCTGCTATCTGTCTCTCTAACGATCAAAATTGTTTTTTTTTTTTCTTTAAAGCTATTCAAATGTAGTGTCTGCTACTTGTTTGTAAACTTTTAATTAATTTTTCATTTGTTTGAAAGGCAGAGATAGAGACAAAGAGAGATAGAGATTATCTTTCATCTACTGTTCACTCCCAAAATGGCTACAATAGCCAGAACTGGGCCAGGAGCCTAAACTCAATATGGGTCTCCTATGTGGGTATCAGGGATTCAAGTTCCTGGGCCATCACCTGCTGCCTCCCAGGGTATGCAACAGCAGGGAACTAGAATGGGAAGCGGAGCTGAGACTTGAGCCAAGCTACTCCAGTACAGGATGCTGACACTCCAAGTGGTGTGTTAACTGCTGTGCCACACGCCTGACCCTCAGGTGGCTTTTGCACTACTGACTTGACAGCACTTTTCTTCCCTTAAGGATGTTGTACCTAGAAACCCATCCTTGGGTCCGGCACTGTGGCTCAGTTGGTTAATCTTCCACCTGCGGTGGCAGCATCCCATATGGTCACCAGGTTCTAGTGGTTCAGTGGAGGATGGCCCAAGTGGTTGGGCCCCTGCACCTGCATGGGAGACCAGGAGGAAGCACCTGGCTCCTGGCTTTGGATCGGCACAGCGCTGGCTGTGGCGGCCATTTGGGGAGTGAACCAACAGAAGGATGACCTTTCTCTCTCCTGGTCTCCCATGTGGGCATAGGGCCCAAGGACTTGGGCCATCCTCCACTGCCTTCCCGGGCCATAGCAGAGAGCTTGCCACAATGGCCAAAGCTGAGCCAGGCCAAAGCCAGGAGCTTCATCCGGGTCTCCACATGGGGGGCAGGGGTCCAAGCACTTGAGCCATCTTCTGCTGCTTTTTCCAGGCCATTAGCAGAAAGCTGAATTGGAAGTGGAGCAGCTGGGACATGAACCAGCTCCTGGGCGGGATGCCAGCACCATAAGCAGCAGCTTTACCCACTATGCCACAACACCGTCCCCAGTTGTATTTTTTGGTTTTTCTGTCTTCAAACTGAGGACAATAATAGTACTAACACCTAAGGCTATTTTTAAGTTTAAATGAGATAAAGCATCTCGAGGGCTTAGCACAGTGCCTGGTGTAGCATGGGTTTGTTGTATCTGTTTGTGAGGATTTCATTGATAATAATCAAAGACCATCACATCATGTACCTTCCTAACAGCACTGCCAGCCCTGGCCCTGTCCTGTACAGCGTCCTCAGAAGGTTAGGAAAGGCAAATGCTGAGTTTCCTTGGGAAGGAGTCTGGGGCTGGGACCAAGGGCAGGAACTGTAGGGTTTTACAGAAGTTCCTTGGGAAGCCAGCCTGCTTCACAGCGATGGGCAGGAAGGAAGGTGGTGGGGTTAGAGAACCCCCTTCTCTGGAACAGCCATTGGCCACCGACATCAAAGTGAAGCCTGTTGGTGTGGGAGTCACAGAATCGTTTCCTGAAGCCCAGCGAATCAGTCCTCAAAACACTTCCATGTGGTGAGAATCAAGACAAGGTCCTTGATTGGGTGCTGCAGAATGGGATAGTTTTCAGATGCTTCGGAGCATTTTAGTCAACACCTTTATCTGCGGTAACGAGTCACATGAGAGTAAGTACATTAGGGCTGGTGGTGGCTGGGCCCATCCGTTC